ACGCAAGCCCCCTTGCCACATCAAAGCAGTGATCCATGAGGGACTCTCCCAGCTTGTAACATCCACCACTCATCGGGCCGGGCACACGCTCAATTTGATCTTCACGGCTGGGGTAACAGTGGACCGGATTACTGCTTCAGCAGTACCATGGTCAGACTACCATGCTCTGAGGGCTCACCCACGAAGCCAAATGGACCCTATGCAGCTTCAAATGGCTATGTGAGATCCGATGCCCCCTGGCAGCCCATTGGGTGAGCTTGTAGAGGACTGGCATAACCGGCTCTCCGCAGCCATCGATGAGATCACGCCCCGGCGCCCTTGCTCTAGGCTTGCTTCCTGGTATACCCAGGAGTTGCGGCTTATGAAGCAAGAGCTTAGATGGCTAGAGAGACGGTGGCGTCGGGCTCGGGACGAAGCCACAAGAGCATTTATAGGACATTTATGAGATCCTATGAGATGGCAGTCAAAGCTGCTAAGAAGGATTTCTATGCAACCACAATTGCGTCCGCTAGCTCACACCCAGCCCAATTATTTAGAACAATTCGGGCTATAACAACTCTGCCACAGGGCAGACCAAATTGTAGAGAATTGGATATTGGCTGTGAGGCATTTGCGAGCTATTTTGCGGATAAAGTCCTGGCGCTTCACCGTGACCTCCCCACCACGGTTGACACAATGAGCGAACTTGAGGCCCCTTGCACATCTTCAAGTTCGGCTTTGGATTCTTTCGGCCCGCTCGGCCTAGAGAAAGTTGACAGATTGCTTAGGACTGTATGCCCAACCACATAAAACCTTGACTTGTGCCCTTCCTGGCTGATTAAGGCTGGCCACGAGGGGTTCCGTGGTGCCCTTAGGGAAATTATCAACAAGTCCCTCGTGGAGGGACAATTCCCGGGGTCACTCAAGGAAGCGATGGTCCACCCTCTCTTGAAAAAGTCATCTCTGGATCTGGCCGAATTGGCCAACTATTGGCCAGTTTCCAATTTGCCCTATCTGGGCAAATTAATCCATTTTGGTGGCGGTACAGTTACAAGGCTATCTGGATGATGCTTCCGTATTAGATCCCTTCCAGTCCGGCTTTCGCCCGGGACACGGGACGGAGACTGCACTGGTCACCCTGACTGACAACCTCCGGAGGCATCTGGATCGGGGCGGTGTGGCAGTGCTGCTTTTGCTTGATATGTCGTCCGCTTCTAATACAGTCGACCATCAGCTACTAACCCACCGCCTCGCCGATGTGGGGATACGGGGCTTGCCTTACAGTGGCTGGTTTCCTTTCTCCAGGGTCGGGGACAAAGGTTGGTGCTAGGGGAATGGCAGTCCCAGAGGCACCTGCTTGAATGCGGAGTGCCTCAGGGGGCGGTGCTTTCCCCAATGCTTTTTAGTATCTATATGCGCCCCCTTGCCCAGATTGCCCGGAGGTTTGGGCTGGGATGTCACCAGTACGCTGATGACACCCAGCTCTATCTGATGTTGGGCAGCCAGTCGGATTCCAGACCGGAAGATCTGGATCAGGCATTGCACGCCATGGCTGGTTGGCTTTGGCTGAGTCGGCTGAAGCTAAACCCGGCGAAGACGGAGGTCCTGTGCCTGAGTTGGGGCAGTTCGGGGTTGGGGCTCCCACTCCTGGCCTTTGATGGGGTGTCATTGGTGCCTGTGCCAGTGGTTAGGAGCCTGGGAGTGCTCCTGGAATTCTCCTTGGCAATGGAGGCCCAGGTAGCAGCCACTGCTAGGTCAGCCTTTTATCATCTGCGGCTGGTCCAGCAGTTGGCTCCCTTCCTCAATCGCGTCGACCTGGCTACAGTGATCCATCGACAGTCACCTCGAGGCTAGACTATTGTAACGCTCTCTACATGGGGCTGCCCTTGGTGCAAATCTGGAGGTTGCAGCTAGTGCAGAACGCCGCGGCCAGGCTATTACTGTGTCTCCCTAGATGGGAGCACATCCGGCTGGTGCTGAAGGCCCTGCACTGGCTGCCAATAGCATATCGAATTCGCTTCAAGGTGCTGGTACTTATCTTTAAAGCCCTATATGGCCAGGGTCCGACATACCTGAGGGACCGCCTTTCCCCATATATACCCCAGCGAGCACTACGGTCGGGGACGCAACATTGACTGGTCATTCCAGGCCCTAGGGAGGCCAGGCTCGCGGCTACTAGAGCCAGGGCGTTTTCAGTGGCGGCTCCTTACTGGTGGAATGAGCTCCCGGAAGAGATCAGGGCCCTGTAGGATCTTATGCAGTTTCGCAGGGCCTGCAAGAGGGAGCTCTTCCACCAGGCTTTCAACTAGGAGCCGCCCTTATCACCACCAATGACCATATCTGGCGTAGAGACTGGCTGTAGTGAGGCAGAGTCAAACTCAAACCACTTGTGAGCCAGTAGCTGTGGAGCTACATGATATGCTATGCCATCTTGGTAAACAACAACTTCAGAGTACATTTATTTAAATGTTGATTGTTTAAATGTTTTAATAATGTTTTAAGCTCTAATGTGTTCTATATGAATCTGGCACCGAGCCAGGCAGTGTGAGCCGCCCTGAGCCCGCTTGTGGGGAGGGCGGATTAGAAATATAAGAAAATAAATAAATTGTTTTTGTTTTCATTGCATTTTTAATGGTGAGATTTCTTTTACTTTTTAAAAAATGGTGAGATTTCTTTTTTAAAATCACAAAAATAAGTAAATGTATCCCCTTTCCAAACAAACACACTTTTGGGAGCCTTCGGTCTTTGTATCAACAAGCCTTTGAATTGGAATCAAGGCACATTATATTTCTAGCAGTTCTGGTGCTGCTAGTTGAACTCCCCTTAGGATTTAGGACAGGGTTGACAGACCCCTGGTCCAGGTGGGGATTCCCTTGATTTTGGGGGGCTTCTTCCTGCTGCCAGCCAGTGACCGTTTTGTCATTCCAACCTTTGCTTTGAAAACTTTCTCTGCGAACAAAACAAATAAGCTTCAGCCAATGACAAACTGTCACTCTCAAGGAGCTGAGCTCCATCTGCCAGCCCAGGGTCGCTACAGGTGGGCTGCCAGGGGGCTGTTCTTCCCTCTGCCTCGCTCAGTGCCTCCAGATTTGTTTGCAGGATTGAGGAGTGCAACTGCGTCAGTGCAGCCAGCTATTCCGGGGCCAGCTGTGGGCCAGGAAAGAAGGGCTGCTCAAGCAAACCAGCCGGTTTGGAGATGAATGGAAAAGGAGGAGCCCAAAGAAGGGGATGGGGTGGGAGGAGACTTCCTGTCGACCCCAGAGCATCCCAAAAGTAGACAAGGTGGGCACTTTCGGGATTCCTGCCGACAGAACACAGTGTTGCCAGCGCTGGCTTGGGAACTCCCTGGAGATTTGGGGGTGGAGCCTGAGGAGGCCGGGGTTTGGGGAGGAGAAGGACCTCAGCAGACTCTTCTGTTATGCTTCGGGGATTTCCCCCCTGGTTGTTCCAGACTTCTAAAACCCGAATGCATTGGTTACTGAGCTGTCCCGTTTTGTGGGTTCATTGTACTGACTTGCTCCTTCCCCCCTCCTTTCCCACGTGCTCAGATGCTGCTTTGCCGGTTCGTTGCCCGCCCGGGCCGCCGCCGCCTTCTGCGCCTTTGGTTGCCTTGTTTCTGCCTGCGGAGCGCACGGACGGAGTTTTCTCCAACTTCGCTTCTGCGTTGAGCGGCGCCCCGGGGGGGGCCCCCCCCCCTCCCGTCCCCCCCCCCCCCCCCCCCGGGCCTTTGGCCGAGATCTCCCCCTCCAGCCAAGTCCAGTTTGGGTGCTGTGGGGCGTCCGGACTGGAGCGACGCCCAGAGGCCCGGCGAGGACTGAGCCCTGGAGCGCCCGGGTTGGGAAACTGCGCCCCCGCCCCGTTTCTGCGAGAGAGCTCGACGAGAGAGCCCGTGTCTGGTCCCCGCGCGGAGGGTGCCGCTCGCCCAGCCGGGATCTTCCGCAGGATCAGAACCACCTTTTAAGGAGGTCGAGGATTTTCGCTCCGGATCTGCTCCTGCGGGGCCTGCGGAGTTCGGTGAGTCTGGAGACGGGAGGGGGGGCTGCGGCGCGGTTTATGCAGCCGGGCCCGAGAGAGCTTCCGAGCCTGGGGTGATTTGGCCATTAATAAAAACATCAGAGGAATCGAACCCGTGGTCGCTCTAGGCCACTCCTCCCCCGGCCCACCACAGGTCACCAACTCTGGGTTGGGTTGGAGATCTGGGGGCGGAGCCCCGGAAGGGCAAAATGCGGAGACACGAGGGAGCTGGACAGTAAAGTTGCCAGCCGTGTTCCCTCTAAGCTGAGTTAGTGTGAGCTAGCTCACAGTTTTTTAGCTTGCAGCTCACACATTTTTGTCTTAGCTCAGGAAGGATGGCTCTAGAGCAGTGTTCCCTCTAAGCTGAGTTAGTGTGAGCTAGCTCACAGTTTTTTAGCTTGCAGCTCACACATTTTTGTCTTAGCTCAGGAAGGATGGCTCTAGAGCAGTGTTCCCTCTAAGCTGAGTTAGTGTGAGCTAGCTCACAGTTTTTTAGCTTGCAGCTCACACATTTTTGTCTTAGCTCAGGAAGGATGGCTCTAGAGCAGTGTTCCCTCTAAGCTGAGTTAGTGTGAGCTAGCTCACAGTTTTTTAGCTTGCAGCTCACACATTTTTGTCTTAGCTCAGGAAGGATGGCTCTAGAGCAGTGTTCCCTCTAAGCTGAGTTAGTGTGAGCTAGCTCACAGTTTTTTAGCTTGCAGCTCACACATTTTTGTCTTAGCTCAGGAAGGATGGCTCTAGAGCAGTGTTCCCTCTAAGCTGAGTTAGTGTGAGCTAGCTCACAGTTTTTTAGCTTGCAGCTCACACATTTTTGTCTTAGCTCAGGAAGGATGGCTCTAGAGCAGTGTTCCCTCTAAGCTGAGTTAGTGTGAGCTAGCTCACAGTTTTTTAGCTTGCAGCTCACACATTTTTGTCTTAGCTCAGGAAGGATGGCTCTAGAGCAGTGTTCCCTCTAAGCTGAGTTAGTGTGAGCTAGCTCACAGTTTTTTAGCTTGCAGCTCACACATTTTTGTCTTAGCTCAGGAAGGATGGCTCTAGAGCAGTGTTCCCTCTAAGCTGAGTTAGTGTGAGCTAGCTCACAGTTTTTTAGCTTGCAGCTCACACATTTTTGTCTTAGCTCAGGAAGGATGGCTCTAGAGCAGTGTTCCCTCTAAGCTGAGTTAGTGTGAGCTAGCTCACAGTTTTTTAGCTTGCAGCTCACACATTTTTGTCTTAGCTCAGGAAGGATGGCTCTAGAGCAGTGTTCCCTCTAAGCTGAGTTAGTGTGAGCTAGCTCACACTAACTCAGCTTAGAGGGAACATTGCTCCAGAGCAAACTAATTTATGCTGTAGCCAAATCGCTCGCACACCACTGTAATGCCAGTAGCTTTCAAAGTAGAATTTTTGCTCACAGGACTCCACAGTTTAGAGGGAGCTGCCCAGGCCGCCATTACCTCCATGGGGACTGATTTCTATTGTTTGGAGATCAGTTGTAATTCTGGGAGAACTCCAGGTCACACCTGGCGGTTGGCAACCCTATGACACGGGGGGCATGAAGGGGCTACGCACAGGGTGCAAAAGCCTCTCTCTGCTTCACATGCCCAATTTCTGCCTGTTGCTCAAAACTGGTTCAAGCTGGGAGGTGTTTTGGTGGCGCAAGAGAGGATCCACCCTGCGAGGAAGCAGGTGCCGTCTGGGTTTCTCAGAAAGCGGAAGGAGACAACTGTGCCGTTGACGACACAGACCGGTTCTCCTCAGGCCCCTGAAGCAACATTATTTGTGCAGCCAAGACTCTCTGTTCCTCCACCCAGAGAAAGTCTGAGCCCTTCTTCTCGCATCATCATCCAGAACCCCTGGGCTTCACTGACCAGCACAGAGTGTTTGGGAGATGGGGGGTAAAGCTGTTGGGAGAATGGGCAGTGAACAAATGCACCTCGCAGAGGAGGTGGCCACCACAACCAGGAAAATGAAGAAAGAGAGAGAAAAAAAGAAGGGCTTTATCAAGGGTTACCAATCTCCAGCAGGGGCCTGGAGTTCCCCTGGAATTACCACTGATCTCCAGACTACAGAGATCAGTTCCTCTGGAGAAAATGGAGAGGAGAATCTACGGCCTTACACTCCATGGAGGCCCCCTCCCCAAACCACACCCTCCCCAGGCTCCACCCCCAAGCCTCCAGGAATTTCCCCGTCTGGAGTTGGGAAACCTTGATGTTTGTTGGAGTTTCTTTATGAAAAGTTGCGATTCAGCAGAGAAAAACAGCTTAGCGATGCCAGAGTACAATAATCAGACTCAGAGTCCACGTGTGTTTAAAATATAAAAGTTTTTACTACATTTCTAGCATAGGGAAAGGTAACTGGGAGGAAAATAACAACAGAGCTAATCCCTACATCTTCACTCTACAAAAGACGAGACTAGAAGAGGTGCAATGGCTACTCTCACACGCTTCTTCAGAACAGCAAACAAAGAGAGGAAGAGGAGCCATAAAATGCAAAGACACTTTGACACTTTGCTTCCAATCAAACTCCTGGAACAGTAAGAATTTTCCCGGGCTGGGGCAGAGGGTGGTGGCTGGGGGACCTAAACTAACATTGGCTTACACAAAAGCATGTGATTTCCTGTAACAACAAAACAGACATTTAACCCAATATATACTGAGTGTTTTTATCTTGTAATACCCAACAATGTTCCAGCATATCCTTACCGAATGAAGGATTCTGCCTGTGGGACCAATCGGTCCACCCACTGATTAACGCGAAATGCCAGGGTGTGTCAGGGTGTCTCTTGCACTGTATCAGCTCTTAACTTTCTGGTATTACGCACAGAGTGGAAAAAGGGGCTGCTGGGAGGAAGGCATGCTTAGGGATGCAACGAGAATTCCAGACGGAACTCATAACTGTGCCGAGCAGATGCTGTTTAGTCCAGATCAGTTAACAAAAATATGTCCTCTCTGTGGCTGCCAGACTGCCTTCTCACCTGCCTGATAGCCCAGTGACCCCAGGCCACCCGGGTCCCTCTCCTAGAGCTGTGACTCCAAAACAAGAAGTGGATCCAACTTGAAAATATTTGCTCTCATTTCTCTTTCTCTCCCTTCCATTTCTTCCTCTCCTCCACCTCTTCTGAATCCAGGCATCTGTTCCAGACCCTAATTCCCATCATAACTTTCTCACCAGCTGCTATGGACCTAAAAAGCCCAGCGACACTGGAGCCCATCTCAAACAGCACAATACAGCCTTCTGTGCCACGGCCACTGAAGACTTTGTACAGGGGTGAACCAATGGCCCTGGGGGTAAGTAAGGACCATGGGGAAAGCCCTAGCATGCCACAAGAGAGAACTACTTAACTCAGGCTCCTTCCCTCACTCAGGAAGTGCCTGTTATGTCTCTGTATGACTAATGTCTCTGTTCCTGCCTCTTTCCCATCAGCCTGCATTGCTTCAGGTGTAAGCGGGTCATTTAATTACCCTGATGTAAACACAGAGCAGAATTACCTGCTACCTGAGAAAGTTGCATGTTGCATCCCAGCACGAGTTCTGTACCTATCTCTGACACTTACATAAATGAAATTACATTGAATCACGTAACTGTTTAATCTCCCCCTTCCTCCCACAGCTCAGCATTTTGTCTATGGATCTTCACTTTTATTTTCATAAGTTAGGCTGAGGGGGAAAAATTGGCCCAGGGCGGGGCTTTTTTTCTGGGGGAATGCACTGGAACGGAGTTCTGGCACCTCTTGGACAAAATTCTTTTAAAATGTTTACAAGGTCATGAGTTTTCAGTATACAGACTGAAAACTTTATTTCCCTATTGAGAGTCCCGGCACCTCTTTTTTTAAAAAAAGCCCTGTCCCAGGATCATGGTCAAGTGAAGGTTTGAACCTGAGACTCCAGAAGGCCTCGGTGATCTCTCCAAGTGGTGTTCCAAATGCTGTGCCAACCAGATGTTCCATTTGGCTGCATCTTGTCCCAGGACGTCTCTAGCCACCACCTAAAGGCTGTAGAAACAACAGAGAGATCATGGGAAGGATGCAGACAATGATGAAAACAACCATGATGTAGTATTATGAAAATATATTTAGACTGCTGTTTTGCAGTGAGTAGTGTTTCTTGTTGAAGAAACACTACGCACTGCAAAACAGCAGTCTAAATATATTTTCATAATACTATATCACGGTTGTTTTCATCATTTTTTGAGACCTAAAGCCTGGACACCCTGAGATGCTCTCCCACTGAGCCGTGGCCCTACCCCTCAAGGAAGAGCAGAGCCGTGGGGCTGAGCTGAAGTCCTTGTCTCTGCTACAGATGTTACCTTCTCAGTTACATTCAGCCAACAAAACTGTGAGCAGCTTTCTGTGTTTCAAATAGTGAGATGACCTTGTTGGGCCAACCTATCATATTACCCTGGTCCAGATGGCTCGGGCTAGCTCAATCTCCTTGTATCTCAGATTCTAAGCGGGGTCAGCCCTGGTTATTAGGTAGATGGGAGACCACCAAGGAAGTCCAGGGTAGCTACACAGAGACAGGCAATGACAAATCACCTCTGTTTGGTTCTTGTATTGACGACTCAAATGTACCTTCTAACCATCAGTGCCATTGGGTTTAGAAGTCTCTACTCATTGCTGGCCTTTTAACAGAAATGACTGTGTGGGACGTTCTAACCACAGCAAAGGTGGTTAGAACGTCAGAGCAGGGCCTAGTTGACCCTGGTCTGCATCCCCCATCACTGGGTGACTTTGGGCCAGTCCCACCATCACAGCCTAACCACCGGACAAGGTTGTTTGTGAAGCCAAAATGGTGGTGGATGGGAGAGACCATCTTTGCTTCCCTGATCTCCTTGGAGGAAAAGCAGGATCAAAATGCCTAGAAAGATGCTCCATTTGCAGATTTGGACCCCGCCCCCCCCACAGGAACCACCTTTCTTCCCGCAGCCTGGAAACGATTGGCTTTCCAGTCTGTGTATTACTGTCGAGCCTTGGGCATGCCTCAGAAAGGATTCCTGTCCTTCACCTTCCATGAGAGAAATAACTGAAAAGGTAGCCTTATTTCTAAGTTTGGTAATTAAGGATCGATTGCACAATGCATAGTTGCATACAGTTGACTTATATCTCCTTGTTACCTCTTTATCTGTTTCTTTCTTAACCTGACATATGCCAATAAAGGTCTGTGTATGTGTATGTATGTATGAGAGAAAATGGTGGCCCTTGTCTTGATTTGGCTATAGAATGTAAGATAATGCTAATGTGCCATTTGACTCTGTCTCGGCAGATCACACAGATCGGCATCGGCATCATGGAAATAGCTTTTGGGCTGGTGATCACCATGACAGAACAGATTAACAAATTCGAGTATGGTGAAGCACATCTCGCAACCCCATATTGGACTGGAATCCTGGTAATTTTTCCACATCAGGTTTGGAAGAAGGCAGACCTCAAGGCTTTAGCCCCCTCAAGTGTCACTCTTTGGAAAATCCAGCCATCTTAAGTTCAGCCCAACGGCTGTTTAAAGCGAAGAAGAAGAAGAAGAAGAAGAAGAAGAAGAAGAAGAAGAAGAAGAAGTACTGGTGTAATGGCTCACTGATGAGATTTTACCACACATTGTCACGTACAAAGGAACTAGAAGCTTTCCTTAAAGATATGAGAGCTTCATTTCCCATAGAACGGAATTCTGGACTGAATACAGTATTGGGTGGGTTTTCTTCACTTGCAATAATCTCGAAATTCCCCCAGCTCAAGGGCATCTCAAGATATCCTAGGAGAGTGGACAGAAGTTTTTCTTTTTTTGGGGGGGGGGCAATCTCCATACTCTGCCCTTAGAACTGGACAGTTTTTTCCATTGACCTCACATGCATGCATACATACATACATACATACATACATATATATATATATATATGATTGCAATTAACAGAGGGATTGGGGTGGGGTGATGTTTTATGACACAATAGATCAGAGGTGTCGAATTCATTTGTTATGAAGGCCGGATCTGACATAAATGTCACTACGTCGGGCCGGGCCATGTGTGCCATAAAACGTAATGCTAGGTACTGAAGATAGAAACTGTATATAAAGACAGCAGCTGGTAAGCTCTGAGTTGGTGTACCCTCACTGCAAGGCCCCCTGGGCTGGGAGGGGGGTGCAGAGGAAAACCCACATGGGGGGACCGAAGAGCCAGCGGTGTAGCACTGGGCAGACGCTCCCACGCTGCCTGACTGCTGCAGACGAGGTTGTTCCGCTGTGTTGAAGCCACCATCGGAGTAGCTCCACCCGTTCCCCACCCCGAGCAGCCTTTATTTATTTATTTATTTATTGCACTTATACCCTGCCCTATCCCAGGATGGGTTCAGGGCAGCTCACAACAGAAATAAAACAATGAATATGCAATTAAGAATCATCAATTAAATAAAAACAGAGTGGCAGCAGAAAATAGAACCAGTCTAGAGCAGCCTAATACACTTCTTGTTGGGTGTTAGTAGGATAGTAGGCATCTGTAGGCCTACTATGGGCAGGGGAGGCCGAGATGGTAAGAAACTTCCTCCACCTCAACCAAAGGCCTGGCGGAACAGCTCTGCTTTACAGGCCTTGTCAAATTGGAGCTAGTCCCACAGGGCCCTGATCTCAATTGGGAGTGTGTTCCACCAGGTGGGGGCCAGGGCAAAAAAAGGCCCTGGCCCTGGTTGAGGCTAAGTGGATGTCCTTTGGGCCAGAGACTATCAGTATGTGTTGTTTAGTGGAGCGCAAGGCTCTCCGGGGCATATATGGGGAGAGACGAGCGAAAATACGCCGGTCCCAGACCACTGCTCGCGGGGCACATAAGAGCCCTGCATGGTCTGGTTCTGGCCTACAGAACCCTGCAGTAGATAATCACTTTTCAGAACTCAAGGTAGAACTTCCAGAAATGCATGCTGTCATTTTTTTCAGTCAGGTCCTGGGGTTCATCATGAGATCTTCTGTGCCCCATAATTTAGATAAACGACCGTGGTTTGATGAATGTTTGGAATTCCAGGACTGGATGCAGCTCCACGTTTGGACCCTGGGTCCTCTGCCACATGACCAAATGATTTCCAGTCCTAGATTCCTCCGATCTAGTGGGCGGGAGGAACAGAGGCAGGGATACAAGAAGCTCATACCTTTCTATTTCTTCTGAGCTCTTTTTCTCTTTTCCACAGTACATCATTTCCGGATCTCTGTCTGTGGTCGTTGCCAAGAAACCTGAGATTACCACTGGTAACTAACCAATTTAGGACTTGAATGATGGGATCAACCATAATGAACTGGCACACAAATACAAGAGCCCAGTTCTGGGATACTGTGGTATGAGACACATTTCAGCGTTCCTGATCTGAGTCTCTCTTGAATGCTGGGTGTTAATGTTTCAAACAAACAAACAAAAGGAACAAATCTAATCCATTTTTCTTTCCATTGGTTCCAAGAGGAAATACATCAGCAGGAGTAATGTCTCTGCTTTCCTTCAGTGTAGTTGAAATTTTAAGAGACCGTAGCTTTCAGCTAATGGAGCTTGCAAGACTGCAGGAATATCTCTAAGAATGTTTCAGTGTTATAAAAGAAAGTGTTGTGAATCTAAAAATAAAAATGGACACTGTAACATCTAGAACACAGTTTGTCTAGTTAAGGAGAAGAGACTGGATTTATACCCGCCCTTCACCACCAGACGGTGTCTCAGAGCAGCTTACAATCCCTTTCTCCCTCCCCACAACAGACACCCTGTGAGTAGGTGGGGTTGAGAGAGCTCTCTCTGCCCTTGAGAGAACAGCTCTGAAAGAACTTATGACTGACCCAAGGTCATACCAGCAGCTACATGTCGAGGAGTGGGGAATCAAACCCAGTTCTCCCAGATTAGAGTCCGCGCTCCTAACCGCTACACCAAACTGGCTCTTAAGAATATAAGAACATAAGAGACGCCAATGTTGGATCAGGCCAAAGGCCCATCCAGTCCAACACTCACACAGTGGCCAAAAATACCAGGTGCCACCAGGAGGTCCAGCAGTGGGGCCAGGAGGAGCCCTCCCACTGTTGCTCCCCCAAGCACCAAGAAGACAGAGCATCACTTGCCCCAGAGTTCCTATCTATACCTTGTGGCTAATAGCCACTGATGGACCTCTGCTCCATATGCTTATCTAATTCCCTTTTGAAGCCATCCATAATTACATAGAGAAGCATTTATATTCTCAGATAAAGCAAAGAGTCAACAAACATAAATGGGTAGCATTGTATTGGTAATAAAAATAAAACATTTTTTCTAGTTGTGGATTTTCTGGGCTGTATGGCCATAGTCTTGGCACTGTAGGAACTGATGTTTTACCAGCTGCTGTGACTGGCAACCTCAGAGGTATACTACAGAAAGATGGAGTACTCTCTGTGTCAAGGTGAGACCATGGCCATGCAGCCTGGAAACTCCGGCCCTGAAAACGTTTGACAACATATAAAACATGTTTTATTTATGGTATGCATCGAAAAAGAATCAGGAGCAATCATAGCTATCAAAACAGATCTTTATTTCTGATACTTATTTGGCTTCTAAAACAGAGACTCCTTTCCCTTAAATTTGGCAGCAATGAATCTTTGTGAAAAGGGTGCGAATTCTTCAAGTTTCATTTCAACGAAAAGCAAAGGTGTTAGAGCCAGAAATGTGATATAATTTTCACTGCCTATAACACTGATACCTTTTCTACTATCTGCCTGAAATTGCATCCTCAGGGTGAGAGGTACATCCATGGAAAATCTCATCTAAATTGGATGAAAAATACCCCCTCCCCAAAGTTACCCTTTGAAATCTTCATCCCATCAAAATCAATGGAAAATAAAACAGATTATGCATTCAGTAACAAAACTGACTGAGATCTTTAGGAAATTTTTGCTTCTGCATAGGAATGCCAGTAGCAGCCCTATTAGGCCACACTAGCCCAATCTCCTCAGACCCTGGAAGCCAAGCAGAGTCATTGCTTGGATGGGAGACCATCAATAAAGACTGGCAGTGTTATGGCCTTGGGTCTTCACGTGCCCTGAAAACCCTGTGAGTTGGAACCTCACGGGGCTGCTATATGTCAGTTGCAACTCAACGGCACACTTTACTTACAATGATGTTTTGGTTATGTTGCATAGAAATTCTTCTTTTTTTAAACAACAACACAACACCATGTTCTTGTGAGGAAGAAGGAGGTTGCAAGCAATGTTCCCTCTAAGCTGTGGAGTCATGTGAGCAAAAATTCTACTTTGTGAGCTAGTGGCATTAAAGTTGTGAGCAAGTGATTTGGCTGCTGCATAAATTGGTTTGCTCTGGAGCCGTCCTTCCTGAGCTAAGGCAAAAAATGTGTGAGCCGGGGGCTAAAAAACTGTGAGCTAGCTCACACTAACTCAGCTGAGAGGGAACACTGGTTGCAAGCCTTAGATACCCTCCTTGAAGCCCCTGAATGTGGAGTTTTTTGCACTGATCCTGCTCTCCTTTGATCCGGAGCTCGGGATTGGTTCCTTCCTCTGCTTTTCCAGTATGTCTGCTTCTGAGATGGCCAGCCATGGGTCCCAAGTCTGCCTTGTTCATGCCAGAAAGGGCAAGGACAGTCAAGCGGAGAGAGGCTGAAGTGGGGCTCCCGTCTGTGGAGGCTGAAGCGATCAGGGATCCCATGGAAGGAAGTGGGACCTTTTTGAATTCATGGCGTGCTTTCTCCCCACAGGTGAAAGGCATGCTGGGAATGAATGTTGTGAGCGCCATGGCAGCTGGCGTTGCGATTGCGATAGTCACCATTTCACTAATCTTCACGAGCCACCTCTCTCCGTGTGATGGATCTTACGACAGCAACACGCCTATAATGTGCCAGGAATCCACCAGGGTCCTTAGCGTGAGTCTACCTTGTCTGAAGAAGGGAGGCAGAACAGGAGCATCTCACTGCTTTTTGAATTTTGCCTCTAAAGGCAGAAAGCTCTTTATGATCCCATCATTCCCACCATGAGCTACGGAACTGTGGCTCAGTGGTTGAGCATCTGCTGGGCACGCAGGAAGTCCCAAGTTCAGTCCCCGGCATCCACAGTGACAAACCACCGGGCAGGAGGTGATGCGAATGATCTGAGACCCTGTTTTTAAAAAGTGCCGAGATCTCTGGGAAAACAAAAGTCATAATTTGGATACAGTATAAAGGGTGTAGAAAATTTTTTTTTTTTTTGGTGGGGGGGGGGGGGAGATAGAAAATTGACCAGAGATAACTTTTTCTCCCTCTCTGTAGGGAGGGGCTGTGGCTCAGTGGTGGAGCATCTGCTTGGCCTGCAGAAGGTCCCAGGTTCAATCCCCGGCATCTCCAGTTAAAAGATTTGGCAGTAGGGGATGTGGAAAGCCGCTGCCAGTCTGAGTTGACAACACTGACCTTGATGGTCAGATAGTCTGATTCAGTATAAAACAGCTTCATGTGTTTAACATCCAGTTGAGCTTTTGGGCATCTGTATGGTGACTGCGGTGGCTCAACGGTTAAGATGCTGAGCTGCAGATTTAAAGGTCGGTAGTTTGACAGTTCAAGACCCGAGTGCCGTGTGACAGAGTGAGCTCCCATCTCTGGCCCCAGCTCCTGCCAACCTAGCAGTTCAAAAGCAAGAAATTGCAAGTAGATAAATAGGTACCGCTTTGGTGGGAAGGTAACAGCGTTCTGTGTGCCTCGGCATCTAGTCATGCCAGCCACATGACTAAGGAAACGACTTCGGACAGTGCTGGCTCTTCGGCTTGGAAAAGGAGATGAGCACCTAGAGTCAGATTTGACTGGCTTTGAGCAAGGGAAACCTTTACCTTTATGGAACAAAAGTAATGAAGGTGGGCTAGGGGCATAGTGCCTAAGACTGCCTGTGGGACCTGCCGTGCTTCACCAGAGCTCTTAAGAATGGGGCTCTTCCCAGTTGGGACTGGGTGCAGCATCCATATCATGCAGTGGACCCTACCCCATGTATTGTGACCAATGCTCCCTCTAAGCTGTGGAGTCTTTTGAGCAAAAATTCTACTTTGTGAGCCACTGGCATTAAAGTTGTGAGCAAGCGATTTGGCTGCTGCATACATTAGTTTGCTCTGGAGCCATCCTTCCTGAGCGAAGACAAAAAGGTGTGTGCTGGAGGCTAAAAAACTGAGCTAGCTCACACTAACTCAGCTTAGAGGGAACACTTATCGTGACAGTGGTGTTTGTATACATAGCATGCAATGAAGAGTTCATTGTGCTTCCCTGGCAGGTTCAGTTACACTACGTGTCTACCGTTCTCGTGTTGTTTACAGCCCTGGAGTTCCTCATCGCCATTGTCACTGCTTCCTTTGGATGTGCCAGTTTGTGTCGGAGTACCTACAGTGAAACGGTAGTTGCCTGGACGGGGAAGTCAAATTAATGTGATGAAAACAGGAATGGGTATCTGGGAAGGGAGATTGTTCTGTCACAGGGGACATGGTGATCAAAATAATATTCTACGCGAAGGTGGGATCTGGATCCAGTATGCCTCCACCCATTGACCCCGTGTGGAGCAAAGCAGGCAAATAGCCAGATATCTTGACCTTCCAATGTCAGCCTCAGCAGCATAGCCAGTTCACACCCATTCATTTCCTCTCTAAGTGCCAGTTTGGTGTAGTGATTAAGTGCACGGACTCTAATCTGGGAGAATCGGGTTTGATTCCCCACTCCTCCACTTGCACCCGGCTGGATGACCTTGGGCAAGCCATAGTTCTGATAAGAGCTGTCCTTGAAAAAGAGCAGTTTCTGTCAAGAGTTTTCTCAGCCCCACCCACCTCACAGGGTGTCTCTTGTGGGGAGGAGAAGGGAAAGGAGTTTGTAAGCTGCTCTGAGACACCTTTGGGCAGTGAAGGGTGGGGTATAAATCCAATCTCTTCTTCTAAGTGAGTAGTTCTGATCCATCATCTGGGCATGTTGTCATGCAGATCCACCAAGTTTGGTATCTGGGGCATGGAATTTGAATCTTTCTTCATTTGCCCAGTGAAGGTCCTTGTGCTGTGGTGGCAACTGCTTTTTTTGGAGTCTGTGCAGCCAATCAGATCTCCAGTAGCCAATCAGAAGCCCAGCTGGGCAAGAGCCCCACCTGACCCTGCCCACTTTCTAAACCACTTGATGGGTGCCAAGAAAGGTGTTGGTGGAGAAGGGCGCCTCGTTGGGGACCCCTGTTCTAGATAGCGTGATGGAAGTTGGGAGAAGGTTGCCAGTAATGAGACCAACCAAACATACAAAAGCAACCTTGAAAAGTGTAAACCCAAATCTCTTTTTTGCAAAAATATTTATAGTTTTATAAGTTATAAAGTAAAGGGCAAATGCAGTACAAAATGTGTGATAACATAAAGAGATATACAATTACAAGCAGGACTATAGCCCTGCTGAAATACAATCCTAAAGGGATCGAGCCGTATTCTTTGTGCTGTAAGGACAGAGAAAACCGTTCACTTTAACAGCCAACGATAAGTCCCTCATAGCATGAAGACTCCAAGGTTGTTACACACGACAGGCCTCTTTCGAATTGTTATCTTTATCAAGTTGTTAAGTCTTCACAAGGCTTGTGGGACTTCCACCAGTTTCCAAAACTTCACAAGTGCATGGTGGCCAGTGTCCCAGTGATGGCTATCTCAAGCCACCATGCGCTTGTGAATTTTTGGAAACTGGTGGAAGTCCCACAAGCCTTGTGAAGACTTAACTTGATAAAGATATTGATTCGAAACAGGCCTATCACGTGTAACAACCTTGATGTCTTCATGCTACGAGGGACTTTGGCTGTTAAAATGAATTGTTTTCTTTGTCTTTACAGCATAAAGAATATGGCTCGGTCCCTTTAAGATTGTATTTCAGCAGGGTTTATGTCCCACCTGTAATTGTATGTCTCTTTATGTTATTATACATTTTGTACTTTATTTGCACTTAAGTTATAAAGTAATCTTATAATACTATAAATATTTTTTTGGGGAAAAAACAGATTTTGTTTATACTTTTCAAGGTTGCATTTGTATGTTTGGTTGATCTAGATAGTACAATAGCAAGGTCTGAAGAGCTGTGTGGCTATAAACCTGGCCTCATTTGTTGTGTTGAGTGGAGCCTCTCTTCTTTCTTGCAGACTGTAGTGATTTTTCAGAACACAGCCCAGGGGACCCCGCCTGCTGTCCTGACGCCGGTCAAGGAGGATGAGGTGCCGTGAACGCCCATGGCCTCCTTCATCCAGAATCACAACTATTTTTTACTCCTCTTTGGAAAAGGGCTGATCGCACAGCATGACTTTCCTGGCAGAGGGTTTGCTGATCAACTTTTTAAAAAAGTTATTGCTATGTGTGGTAAATAAACCGGGAAACTGGCTGGATTTGGTATTTTCTTTGCTGTTTATTTAGGTTTCCAGTTTCCATTCCCTTTCATTCTTTTCTTTCTTGCTCTGCTCCTCTGACCTACAGGTACTCAGGGCTCTGAGTAGTACCAACCAACCAGGAATAAAGGGAAGAATTCAAGCCAGAGAGGATCCGCTGTACCATATTAGAGAAGATGTCTACTTGTCACAGGCTGCTTGAACTCTAATGGCAAGGAATTTATCTAAGAAAATAATATTTGCTGGCCTAGAATCTATTACAAATTCATTCACTAAAATATCTAGGGGAAGCTCCTTTGGCTGGCACATAAGTGGTCTGATCCATTTCTCTCTAGCCTCCTTATACTACAGACATTTAAACAGAACATGCTTCAGAGTTTCTATGGTCCCTAAGCCACAACTGCATTATCGATCGAAAGCGGTTTACCTAACTGTAGACGGTAATGCACTCAGTCTTGCAGAGACTGCAGACGGTACCACATTTAATCTTGTGAGCGTAATTGCTCAGCTGTATCTGGGAGCAGCGAAGTTAGACAAGTATTTTGGGATTGTGAAGACTGGTGGGATTCTTATATGGAGAGTAGAGCAAGTGTGGCCCTTTACATTTCTGTTATATTGCAGGGATGGCCAGACTGCAGCTCAGGAGACGAATGCGGCTCTTTCACACATATTGTGTGTGGCTCCCGGCAGGGCCACTGGGGGAAGGGGAAGCATGCCTCCCGGATTGGTCTTCCCTTCCCCAGCCAGTGTTCCCCTCCTCCCTGGGTAGACTTGAGGTGGTGGTGGGGAAACAGAGAAAGAAGGCAACTTCAACTTTAAATGCGTTCTCAAAGCCTCCCCTCCACCGGCTGGCTTGGAGAAGGCATTTGTCTCTTTAAATCCCTTCTCCAAGACAAGCTGGTGCAGAAGCAGAGGGGAGGGGCTTTGACAACACATTTAAAGTTAAAGGCATTTTCCAAGTCCCTGCCCCGTGGCCCTGCCTGCCAGCTTTGAGAAGGCATTTGTCTCTTTAAATCCCTTCTCCAAGCCAAGCTGGCTGGCATGGAAGCATGGGTGGGGTGGGGTTGGAGAACACATTTAAAGTTAAGATGCTTTCTTTCCACCTCTCCCTCCCTCGCCATTTATTTGTTTTCTTTCCATCTCTGTCTCTCTTTTCCCCTCTTCCCCCCATCTATTTACTTTTTTCTCACCTCTTTCTTTTTGCCTTTCTCTCTTTTTCCCTTCCTTCCTTTCTCCCTGCCTTCCTCCCCCTCCCTCATCTGTTTGCTTTCTTTGTTTCTCTCTCTCTCCCTTCCTTGCCCTCCCTCCCTCCTGCCCCCCCATCTATTTGCTTTGTTTCTCTTTCTCTCTCCTTTCTTTCCATATCTTTCATTCTTTCCACCTTCCTTTCTATCTTTCTTCCATTCTCCCTGCCCATCTATTTGCTTTGTTTTTTTCTCCCTTCCTTCCTCCCTCCCCCTCCCTCCCCTATCTATTTGGCTTTCTTTGTTTCTTTCTCTCTCCCCCCCTTCCTCACTCCCTCTCCCATCTATTTGCTTTCTTTCCACCTTTCTTTCTCTCTCACCCTTCCTTCGTACTCCATCCCTCCCCCATTTATTTGCTTTCTTAGTTTCTCTTTCTTTCTACCGCTTTCATTCTTTCTTTCCACCTCTCTCTCTGTTAGACAAATAAATATCATTAGCAAACAAATAAATATAATTGGACCAATAAATATTGTTGATACCTGTTTTTACCCTTTTTGTTTTTATTTTTGGCAGTCTCATTTAATGTTAATAAAAAGCAACGTTGTATATTTTCTAATAAAAACGTGTGTGCAATATTTGTTAATGTCTTTCGGCGCTCAAACGTCTGACGTTTATTCTGTGTGGCTCTTACATTAAGCAAGTTGGCCACCCCTGGTCAAGGCTCAAGGCTCCAGGCTCCAGAGTGCAAGGCAGAGCCATGGACTTCACAGCAGACCTCTGAAGCATTTGATAATACAGTGGTCAAGTGCGCAGATTCTAATCTGGGAGAACCAGGTTTGATTCCCTACTCCTCCACTTGTACCTGGCTGGATGACCTTGGGCAATCTGTTGTTCTGATAAGAGCTGTGCTTGAAAAAAGCGAATTGTGGAGATGCCGCACGTGCTGAGCAACCCCGATTTTTTCATGTCGGCCTCAGTGGTCCCCTGGACCCAGAAGAAGTAGGTGAGTTGCTCGAACCAGACTTCCCATAGCTCGGGAGCTGGGTCGAAGGTGGAGATCTGTCCCAGAGCAGCAGCCATGACTCTTTAGTGGAGCGGGGAGCAATGTCCTTGGGAGCGGGGTACATTGCAGTGCTGCTCGGGAGCGATGCGGGGCGTGGTGTCCTTCGGAGCGGTGCTCAATGCTGGGCTGTTGGCTGAATCAGGCTCACTCATTGGGATCCCATCTTCGTCGCCAGTATAATGTACTGGATTCAAGGAACATAGATGAGTGATTTCAGCTCATGATTTATTAGAAGGCAGAAACTGAGACAGGAAAGTGGGGCCTCGGGGCCTGCTTACATGCCGGTTCCAAACCACACCCAACACACACCTATTACCCGTGATTGGTTTATTTACAGTGCCCACATAACCATAGGTCCTTACTAGGATCCAGACCGACAGATAGATCCGTTCTAGGATCCTCTGCGTCCATTGTTCTAGATCGCGAAGCTCTGTGTGTTCGCTAGACTATGTCCGAGGCTGACCACGTGCATGGCCCTTTGTTAGGACATAACAGTTATGTAACGCCAAGCACCAGGGGGGGAATAATGAGGCGTACATTGTCTGCAAAAAGCTCCTCGCTTTGTTACCTCTGAACAACAGGTTCAAATCCCCACTCTGCCATCTGTAGGGTGACCTTGGCCCAGCCATTCCCTCTTGGCCTAACATTCCTTTCAGGGCCATTGCTGTGAGGATAAAATGGAGGTGAGAAGAATGATGTGAACTCCTTTGGGTCCCCCAGTGTGGAGAAAGACTGAGCAGGATGCTTGTTATAAATTTAATGTTGGCGACAGTTTGCAAAAGAGGATCAGTCTTGCATTTACTTAATCCGGTATTGTTGCAGTTCTTCTGGAAGGAGGCAGCATGGCTCATTCGGTGTTCAAGCTACCATTAAGTATTATCAGCACGGTAAGTTACAAGGTCGGCAAGCAGAAGGAGTGGGCGTTCCTTTAATAATCAATATTCTATGAGTGAATGGATATTGAGGATCTGTAGGGTTTACTATTTCTCCCCAACTACAAGCTTCGGTTCCTCTGGAATACATGAAGGGCACTTCCACACATGTTGAATCATGTACTTTCAATGTACCTTGCAGCTGGATTTTACTGTGTGAAACAGGAAAATCCACTTGCAAATGATCACTAAAATTCATTGAAAGTGGACTGAAAGCACAGTAGTATTCAGTGTGTGTGAAAGCACCTGAAGTTGCCTTATGCTGAGTCACACCCTTAGTCTATCAAGGTAAGTATCTTCTACTTTGACGGGCAGTGGCCTTCCAGGGACTCAAGGAGAGGTCCTCCATATTGCCTGGTGGTGGTGGTGGAACGTGCCGTCAAAGTGCAACCTACTTGGGGTAACCCCGTAGGGTTTTCAAGGCAAGAGACATTCAGGGGTAGTTTGCCACTGCCTGCCTCTTCATAGTGACCCTGGACTTCCTTGGTGGTCTCTCATCCAAGTATGAACTAAGGCCGACTCTGCTTAGCTTCTGAGGTCTCATGAGATCAGGCGGGCTTGGGCCACCCCAGGTCAGGGCAAGCAGTTGCTAGCAGATTCTTTTAACTAGAGATGGTAGGGCTTGAACGAGATTTTTCTGTGTGCAAAGCAGGTGCTCTACCCCTGAGCAATGTTCCCTCTAAGCTGTAGAGTCTTGTGAGCAAAAATTCTACTTTGTGAGCTACCGGCATTAAGGTTGTGAGCGAGCAATTTGGTTACTGCATAAATTAGTTTGCACTGGAGCCATCCTTCTTGAGCTAGGACAAAAATGTGTGAGCCGGAGGCTAAAAAATTGTGAGCTAGCTCACACTAACTCAGCTTAGAGGGAACACTGCCCCTGAGCCATGTCTTCATTCTCCTTCAGAGTGCTGGTAGATATCATTATGTGCAGGGAAAAGACAACAACCAACAACCTCTGGCACTTAGGCTGTAGGGTTCCCAGCTTCCAGGTGGGGCCTGGAGATCTCCCGCTTTTACAACTAATCTCCAGCTGACAGAGATCAGCTCCCCTGGAGAAAATGGCTCCTTTGGAGGGTGGACTCTATGGCATTGTACCATGTGGAGGCCCCTCCCTTCTCCAAACCCCGCCTTCTCCTGGATCCACCCCCAAAGTCTCCAGGTATTTTCCAACCCAGACCCAGCAACCCTATTAGGCTATCAGGCTTATAAGTTTCTGAAACACAACATGAACGCTGCTAGATTTGATACAGATGGAGACCTACGAAGCAACAAACAGGCTATTATGACTCACACTCATTGCCCGGAAGCAAGAGGAGAAAAGAGGAAGTTCCTGGCGGGGCTTTTCACTCCCTTGCAGCGGGCCGAGTGGGCCACATACCCAGTTCCTTGCAGCTCCTTGCCATGAAGGTGAGTAACCCTCCTCTCTCCAGCAGAAGACCATCCTACTCTCTGGTCTCAGAATACCCCCTGCCTCCGTGCTTCCTGTCTCTGGATAGTTTGCTGGCCCTGTTTTTCCTTCCAGCTGCGCTTTGTAGTTATTGTGCAATTCTGGGCAGGGCTTCAGGAGGAGAGTGTTATTCAATGCTTCGGTCCTCTTAGCAGTGGCATCCAAGCGGCAAACTCTGGAGCCTGTGCGTGCATGCATCTGCTTTTGTTTTGCGTGTGTGAGAGAGACAGGAACCTTCCTACATCCTTCTCTTTCATTTTGGAAACTCAGAAACATCTCTTTCTTCTTTTTTCATCATTCTTTCCTTTTCTTTTCCTTTTCTCCCGCAGTCAGTCACTCAATCTCAGTCTCTCCCTCTCTCTCTCTCGGTTTCTGTCACACACGCAAAACAAAGCAGATGCATGCACGCACATGCTCCAGAGTTTGCTGCTTAGCAGAGTTTGCTGCTTCTACATAGAAGGATGTAGGAAGAAATTTGGGGGGGGGGGGGGGGGGAAAGAGGCTTAGAAAAAAAAAATTCTTCCTGGCAATGGGGAGGGAACGGGAAGGTCTGAGACCTGTTGATAAGTCACTGGGCTAAAACCCCAGAGCTGTCTAGTTCTCATGTAGCTCCCTTCTGACTCTGGGCGATTCTGCATTGGCTTTTCCTTCCATTGTTTTAGCCAACCCACATTGGAACAGAAATTTCCCTTTGCATTGCATGCTGCTTTCACTTTCTTTGATCATCAGGCTTTATGGTACTTTCTGGCTGTTCAGGGGTGACTTCACAGTCAGTACCGTGTTGGTCCGGGGTATTTGACTGTGGTTTTAAGCTGCACCTTTTCCTCGGTGTTGAGAAAATGTGGAGCGAATGCCAGGGGCAGAACTAGCCACTGACTTCCTTCGAAGTTGCCCTGTATGGCATTTGCCTTGGTCAGAATCGAAGAAGAACAGCAGCGCTTTCTATTATGGGGGAAATGTTAGTGACTGTTTCTCCCCCAAGTATTAAAAGAGAAAGTACAGCTCTGCAGCAACTGCATTGGCAGAGAGCCTAAGATGTTAAAAGAACAGAAATGGTCAAACAGAAATGGTTCTTGGGCTAAGAAT